AATTTCAAATTATGCATTATATGAACATTTTTAAATGAGTAAAGTGTTGTGTAAATATATCAAGTTAAACATTAGTGTTAATAAAAGTTGCCAGTATAAATATATTTGAATAAAAAATATTTTGTTTTTAACTGCATTATTTTTTAGGAAATTAATCAAATTATTTAATAACTCATGGATTTTACTGCTTTTAATAGCGCTTTTAATTTAATCTCGTTATTTTACAGATCATTTCTAAATTTAAAAAATAAAATAGTTAATTGAAAAACCTTTGAACAAAAATGAAACCAGGTGCCATCAGTATGGTTTTGAGAAAATGGTTTTCTTTTTGTTTATTACAGTATACTTGGTACAGCATTCCACTTTTTTACTTGATCTCTTTCTGTTTATTGACAACACTATTGTTACTATAGTGTTGTCATTAAGCAGAAAGATTCCTTTTTTTTAAAGGCATCCAATTATGTTTTATATTTCATTTTATTTTGAGACAATGAAAAATGTGTTTTATCAAGTCACTGAACTTATAAGATGATATTAAAAGTTCATCAGAATAGTTTTCAACATCTATTTTTGTTTTATCTCAAAAAAAAAATTTCTAATTATGCTAAATAATTTTTTTTTCTAATTATATACTGTTTAATTATGCAATCATTCTTTTGATTTAATTCAGTTAGTTTATATTTTAATTTAGTTGTTACATTCTATACTGAATTTTACAGTTATAGTTTTTTTTTAGTTATCACACTAGGTTCATAATTTAGACATCATTTTAGGTTTCATATTTTTTTCTTGTTTAGTTTTTACTTTTACCTCATGATTATTTTTTATCAGTTAATGTATTTTGAATGAGACCTCAAGGAATATCCAAAGACTTTATAATGTATTATTTTTAATTTCTCATTAAAACATTTTTGTATGAATTTTAATTTTTTGCGTTAATCTTAGTTTGTCTATATGTTTTATTTAAGTTTATTTAAGTTTGTTTTTTATGCATATGAATATTCAGTTTTTATTATTAACCATTGTTCCTAACTGGTATGGTAAGTTACTTTTGATTCTTTCATTTTATATGGTTATAAATTTCTTCATTGATATTATTTCTAAAATACTAAATCTTTAAGATTTTTGGTAAAGGCATTTTTTGGCTGCTGATTACTAGTGAAGTGTGGTATTGAAGTGCGGTAGTGGTGTAGTGGTTGTGCACTCGTCTCATAAGTGAGAAACTCCATGTTTGAACCTTATTTTTCATTTTTGTCAATATTATTATTATTGTAAATAATATTATTTAAATTAAGTTCTACAAATTAATTTATATTTAGTTTTATTAATATGTTTTTACTGGCTGAAATGAAAGATGTGATTCAAATAATGCCCTATAACTTTGGGCATGATTTTAAAAGTTCATTGGAGTTTGGTCTCAACAAAAAATTTGCTAATAAGGTAATTTTTTCAGTATTTTAATTATAGATAGGATGTCCCTGAGTAAGGCTCCAAACTTCACTCTCTGTGTAATCTTGAATATTATATATGTTAAATAACTTTTGAACTTAATAAGAAAAAAATATTTGTTATAGTCTCGAATATTATCATATGTAAACTTAAAATCCTGACTCATTAAAACATAATTGAAGGCTTTAATAAAATCTTCTATTATGTTTTCATGTTTAATATGTTCCCAATAGAGTCCAAAAACAAAAAATATTTTTAGAATATTTGGAGTTAAGAAATTATTAATTGGGACTTTTAATCTATGATTTTAATCTCTAATTTTAATTTTATATTATATATTACTGTTTTTTTATAGCAAAATTATATTAAAAAAATATAGTCAAAATCTTATAAAAAAAACTTTTTTTTTAAAAAGGAATATTTAAAAAAAAATTATTTTTTGTTAAAAAATACATAAATAATAATAATAAAACTGAAAAGCCATCTTACTCCATTTTAGTCAAATTCTATTATATTTTCTTTATTATTCACTAACATCTCAATATGCCTAACACTTGATTCTTTTTTTCATTTCATTGATAAACTTTCCAGCATTAGAAAACATACTTTAAGATGAAAAGAATGTTTTAGGAATTGGTTTCAAAAGTTCAAAAATTCATGTTTTTTGCAATTCTGCTAAAAGTATTTTTTTGCTCAGAGTTTTTCAATACTCAAGTATATGGGTAGTTACGTAAGGTAACTCTTTCCAATAAACTTCATGGTGAATGTGGTTTTTGAGAAATGTTTTTATGAGTGATATCTATCTTGCTTATAAGACAAGAAGAAAACTTAATCTGTGATCTAACATCAATTATGTTGTAGTGAAGTCGCTGTTACTGGTTTTCTCTTTGTTTTTATAACTCTGTTCACGTTTTTTTACTAATAAATATTTATTTAAGAATAGTTTTATCTCTTATACCAGTTGTTCTTTTAAAAAAAACATTTCTGGTAGTTAATAGAGAATGATAAAGAATAAATCTTATTATATAAGTATATTTTTTGAACAACTTACTCTTATAAAAAAAATATAAGCTTGTATATATAATCTTATTTTGAAAACTTGTTAAAGAATGATATAAACATTTCTATGCAGAACAACAAGTTGTTCAACTATGTAGTACATTAACTATTAATTATATATATATATATATATATATATATATATATATATATATATATATATATATATATATATATATATATATATATATATATATATATATATATATATATATATATATATATATATATATATATATATGTATGTAGCATGACCACAAATACCGCCAGCACCTTGTAATATAACTTGTCTAGTAACACCAATAATAAAAATTTGCAATAAAATATTTTTCAAAACAATTATAAAATCTAAATATACAAATAACATATGACATGTGGTTGTGATCTACAAACTGAAAACCTTTAAGAATACTTGGTATTTAAAAAAATAGCCATCAGAATTAAGGTTGGCATTCAGCAATGCGGACCTAACTGCTGACTTGACAGTATCTGAGGTTGCCATATTTTTTGCAAACCTCAGAATTTTTAAACTTAATTTTATTTACTATTTCAAATAATACAAAAACAGCAAAATGTACATTTTATTCAAATTATAAATAAAGTAATTGAAAATGGAAGAAAGAAAGTGTTATTTAAAATCTTTTTAAACCAAATAAAATAAAAATAGCAAAATAAACTTTTTGTTTAAGTTCTGAACAACTTAAAAATTCAACAACAAAACAAAGAAACTGAGAATATATACCAACCCTAACAAATGTTACTGAATGTATACCAATGTTAACAAATGCTCTCACTCATTTAAAAATTTAAATTTAGGTATGGCATTGTTAAATTGATTATTTGTATTAACTTTCACAAATTTTCTTGAAGAAAAGTATCAAAGAATTTTATTAATTCTCATTGAATAAGACAATTAGGTAGGAAACTGACAGCATTTAATAAAAAAGTAAATTAAAATCTGATAGAGCCAATTAAGTTTGAGAAACAAATACTTACCACGTTACAAAACCTCTTATTTGCCACGTTTCAAAACCTCTTATCTACCATCTTTCAAAACCTCTGCAACACTATAATCATTTTTAAAGAGCAGAAAACTTTCATTCAAGCATACTCAAGTTTAAGATCTAAATTTTTAAATAACATAATTACACAATTTGGTTGGAAATAATATACAACTAATTAGTTTTCAATTTTATAATTAAATAACTAATTTAGTTTTAAATTTTAAACAATAAGGAGGCATACCCGAAGTTAAGCTGTAAAAAAACTCACTAAAAAATGTTTATATTATTTTTTTATTATAGTATCTTAATTTAATTAGCTTTAAAATAAATTTTCTCTACCAGTAGAAATTCAGGTGCATTATTGACAATAAATCTGCATAAGTAATTGTTGAAATGATAGGGTTGGCGTTATTTAACATCTAGCAGATTGGCATTAAAAAGTGTTGACATAAAAGAGTCTCCTCTTTTAACAGATGTTGCTCCACTGCAAAGTTTTAAAAAGTTTTCTTTTTAGGAAGTTAATCTTTTTTTACCAATTTGTGAATATATTTTTTTGAAATATAGAATCATTATCGACATTAAAAATAAAAATCTATAGTGTTTTATAACTTTGAATAAATTTTTTATTTTTTGAAAAAAGTGTAAGTCTTACTCAAGTTTGTTTAAAGGTCATTTATAAGGCAATATTAAATTTATTTAATAAGTAGAAATAGTAGATAACTTGCGCTTTTTTTGCGCAGCAACTTTCATTGAACTTAAAGCGCTGTTTTAATTTTTAGTCCATAAATAAAGATACTGCATTAGAGAACTTTTTTTTCCTTGATCTCTATAAATTATGCAATTTAACATGGCATAATTTATAGACAATCCATTAACTTGAAACTTTATTTTAGTTTGAAACTAAAATAAAGCTATCCATTTTTATAGGGATGTTTTATGGTATCATTATTTATAGTTTTAACTAGAAAAAATGAGTTACAAAGTATTCTTTAATAATATTTTTAAGTTTGATGTAATGTTTTATTATAGGAATGTTCTAAAATTATTGTGTATTCTCTAAAGCTATATTACTGTTTTTGTGTATATAAACAAAAATAAATCTTTCCAGTTAAAGTTATTCAAACAGCTTAAAATTTTTATTGATACTAAAACAAAAAGGCTTATATTTTCTATTAGTTTTTTATGCATGCTTTGGTTATCTTTGCATTTTAGTTTTTTATTCATGTTTTTGTTATCTTTGCATATTTGATTGGACTAGTTTGTTAATAATAGGTTATATTCTCTCACAAAAAATATGTTTTGTTTTAAAGTTGAAGAACTATTTTGGTAAACTCAACTATTTTGGAGAACTCAAAGAATTATTTATTTTAAGAACTTAAGTATTGTGTTTAAGTGGTATTTTTAATTCAAAATATTTTTTTTAATAATCAAAAATATTTTTTTTTTTTGATTTAAAGTTTTTGTTTTATTTTTTAAAAATACCAAATCTAAATAAAAAAAATTTAGTATTTATAGCGGTTCTATTTAAATGATTTGTTTATTGTTTGTTTAGAGGATTTTAGGTACTTCACTCATTTCGACTTTTTGTACATTTAGGTTGTACATAATGTTGGTTTGTGCATTGTGCTTTTTGATATTACTCATATAGGTGATTCTTACATTTTACCAGGAAATGGAGCATCACATACTCCAGGTATAATAGTATTTATTTTTGTTTCTTCTTGTTTCTTCTTTACATTTTATTTCTGAAATTTAGATTTTCGATAAAAAATGCAAAAAGAATTCTTTGCATAATTCAAAATATAGAGACTTGAATCTTCTATTTATAATTTTGTTTTTTAAGACATTGTTTTGATGGCATTGTGATGGCATTGCATCATAAATATTAAATTATAAAATTGTATATTGTACCTGTATTTTCATTTTTCTTGTAACTAATTCAGTATTATAACTCTGGGTGTTAATGGTCTATCAAGAATACGTCATCTAAGTGACATCACAGGTTGTCTAGGTGTCATCTACTTACAATTATTTTAAAATTTATTTCTAATAAATTTTTGCCTCTTACTTTATAGCTGTTGGTCACTTTAAATTATGAAAAAAAATCAGTCACTATAAAAAAAACTATATCTAAAGCCTAAAAATTTTTGAAGTTAAACTTTATCTTAAAATATAAAGCTTTTCCTTACACACTCATTTTTTAAATTTTAAATATTTAAAATTTAAAAAGAGTTGGATGATTTAATGAGCTTTTTGTTTGTCAAAAATTAAGCAAGTTGACTTTGCATTTAATTGAACTATGAAGGTCTCCGAAAAAAGAGCGATTATATTAGGGCTGTACCGGATTTCGGCTCCGGCTCCTGCTGCGGCCGAAATCCGGCCATTTTTACAAATCCGGCCCAAATCCGGCTCCGGCAAAAATTTAGCAAATCCGGCATAATTTTAGCCGGAGTTTTGAATTTTGTCAAATGTTTATTACATTTTTTTTGCCCGTGTTTACATGTATACCTAATATTTTATTTATAAAAATCAATTTTTTTTGTAATTCTATATTTTATGAACCTCATATTTGTTTTGGTATTTGTATTTATATTTCTTTACAATTTAATAAGCTTAGTCTAATTTCAAATAACAACGCAACAAAAAATTCTGAAGGGAAGACACACGATATTCTACAATGATGCAGGTATAAAGACTATGATGTCAACCCTAATCAAGTGATTGGATGAGCGTTTTAAAAGCATTGAAAAGAGAAACCTCTTTATATACTGACGAGGCTGGTTGACTCACAATTTAAAACTAAATTCTCCTCATTACAGGCAACACTGACAGCTGAAAAAACAAGATTGAAGTCAATCTGAGCATGCTGAACAGAAGATTGACAAAACTGAAGAAAATCCACCAAAATAAGCCAGGCTTAATAATTTTTCTACATCATCATCATCATTACTCTGGCAATTTATTGATAAAATTATTCAGTCTACGTCCGCTGGTGGCAGGGCACATAAACAACAATTACTAAAAGGCATTAAAACTCAACTAAGGAAATATCCGAAAGAACCAGAAATAAGTAGACACAATGATCCACTACAGTGGCGGATTGACAAAATCCCGGAAAAAAAGTTCAATAGAATTACTATAAACTTTTAAAACATATGGCCTATAGAATTTTTTTAGAATTTCTATTAATTTATATATAGAAATTGCTATAAAACTTTTTAAATAACAACAATGAAGTTTAACAGAAAACAGCAGTCACTTGGTATTCTGAATAGTCCACATTGTTGACCATGCTCAACACCAAATAGGGATGTACAGGATTTTGGCTCCTGTAGTTTTGTTTTGAAATCCGGCTCCGATTCCGGCCGGATCTGTCAGTAGAAATCCGGCAAATCCGGCTCCGGCCGGATTTGAAAAAATTAAATCCGGTACAGCCCTAGATTATATTGTATTCTACTTTGATGAAAGTTTTTAATTTTTAATTTTATTATTTTTAATTTATTAAAAACCTTTTTTAATTAATATATATGTTTATAAATTCAAGTGACTTTTCGCTTCATTGTATTTCGACCATTTATTGATGAAGTTTTGGTTGCTAAAGTAAAATCATGTACTAGGGAAGGCGTCCAAGGTATAAATTTTTTTTTTATACTCGTATAATAATATATTTATTTTTTGATATTTAATACCAAATCTTTGACAAACTCAATAATTAAGTAAATAAAAACTTAAAGTTCACAACCAGGCAGGTAAGAAATAAAAATCATTGTGCAAGTAGCGACAGGGGCCTGGCCCCGCATAAAAATTAAACTTTTTGCAAACCCGGCCCTGGCAAAATTATAAGATTTAGCAGGGGTTGATAGCCAAGGCTATGAAAAAAATTATAGTACTTTTTGTATTACAATTTTATATTTACGTTTACTAATTATTACATACTGGCATATATTTATATATTTTTATTTAAACTATAATTTACTTTCAACAATATTGCAAGCAACCACTATTAAATTGTGAGTTACTTTAAAATAGAGGACAGGTTAAAATACTAGAAATGGTTAACGGAAGACTTTAAAAGTTGCAGGATGTATTAAAAATGAAAAAGGGAAGAGTTAAAAAGCTTTTTTGATGTGCGAGGACAAAAAACTGAATTAATAAAAGTTTTTTAATAAAATTCAAATCTAGTTACCTCCAACTCAGCGCTTGACTTCGGTGAGCAAAATTCAATCACGGACGCTAATACAAACGATGCTTTGTATTAGTTTTTATGACTAATTCTGGCTGTTCTTATATGCTAAGCCAACAAAATGTTTGAATAAGAGCATTTTATTGCAAAGTATAGCATGAAATTCAAATAAATAAACAAAAAATTAAAAAAATGTTATATGCATTAGTTTTTTTAATTCAGTTTTAGTTTCAGTAAAACTTAATAAAAGATACAGTAAAAGATACAGTGAAAGGTTGAATAAAAAGCCAAGTAAGAATGAGTTTTGGTTTATCGTAATAGTGATGGTAGCTCGTTTGAACATTGACCATGATAGTGTTTGTAGAAAAAATAAAGAAATGCAACCTTACAACAATGGGAGAATGGTTCAAGCTTGGTAGATAAAGCAGGTCTAACTACATTTACAATGTGCTTTTAAACTTTGTCTGAGAGTAAGAGGGTTATTATTTGTTGATATAGGGTACCCAACAATATTGCATTTTTTTTTTTTTCAGTAAATAAATGCACTTTTAAAAGTTGGATAATACTTTTTTAAGACTATGATGGAATCTTGTCTGGAGCACAAACTGTAGAAGTGTTCAGTTGAGAATTCTGTTTAATTGGCAGGAAGAGTGCGGCCATTAGGTTCAAGAGTTGATTTAAGTAAGATGCTTTTGCAAAAAACTCTGCTTTATTCTGGGGAGAAGTAAAATATCAGACCCATGAATTAGACCCATAATTAAACGTTTCTTAGAGAAGATTGAAGTGATTTAGGTATGAGCATTTAGAGAGATAGAAGCTTCAGGAGAAATGGTAGTGGTAGAAGTAAGAAAACTTAAAGAGAGTACCTTATATATTTTATGAATGAGGTTTAGTTAAAGAAAGAAAATACTCTAGATTGTTTTTATTAGAGAAACAGCATAAAAGAGGAAAAAAAAAGCTTTTTTTTAAAAAATGAAGGCCTGATGAAGATGATTATGATTAGGGTTTGGCAGTTTTTCAAATAAACTTTTAAAACCCGGTTTTTAAATTACAAAAACAGGTTTTCTATTTTTTAACATTTTAATAATATATTGTTGTTAAACAATAACATTTTGTTATGTTAGTTTAGCAAGATGTTTGCTTTATTTATTTAACATGCAGCTTTAACTTTTTCCTGCGGTAGATGAGGATTTCAATTTTATTTTTGCAAAATGTTACGTAATAATAACCCAATAGAAACACTTGCTTGTCTAAAAACACACGGATGTAAATACAAGTCATAGAAAGTTTTTTTCAAAATGGCTTCCCGGAAACGGCTTTCTTCTCGAATAATTTGGATTTAATATTCATTTGTACGAATTTATATGTAAGATTATATTATGTTAATGTATTTATATATGTAATAATTTAATACGTTTACATATTAATAATATATATAATACTAATATGATATTTATATTTATTTATATGATATTTATATCTATATTGTAGTCTACATGTGTTTTCTATACAAAGTTTTTTTATTTTGTAAACTAGATTTTTGGAGTTTTTAACCTATAAAATTGAAGTATTTTTATACTATACTTTATAAGAAATTAGTTTCCTTGATTACTTTGTTTTTTGTATTAGTAAGTATTTTGTTAATGTTATGGTAATAAGCTCATATCAACGTGGAAGTATAATTTTGAGTTACAATTAATATCAAGGTGTATCATTTTATCATAAATCATTTTCAAAAATGTTTATTCATTAATTTCATTTCATTTTCAGATAATAAAAAAAAATAATAAGTCAGAAGTTTGGAATAGTTTAAAAATGTCTGGGATAGAAAAGGCAATCTGCAAATATTGTAATAAAATGTTGAGTTCCAAAGGTTCATCAACAAGCAATCTATGTAATCACTTAAAATCAGTTCATAAAATAGAAAATAAATCAGAAACGGTTAGCGAAGAAGATACTGGTCCTTCATTTTTTTTTAAAAAGAATTTGAAAAACTTTTTTTAAAAACATTTTAAATTTTATGAAAGTAAAAAGAAGTAGTTTTAAAAAAATCAAAACTTGCGGCAATAGATAGGCTTTCTATAAATAGCATTTCGAAAAGTTCGTTCATACGAGAGTCTCTTCAACAAAGAGGTTATTCATTACCAAAGAAAAACTCTAGAGTAATGAATCTCATTCATGCATTTTATGACGAAGCCAAATTTGAAACAATTACAGAATTAGATTCAGTAAAGACGAGTGGGAAAAAGTTTTTTATAAATTTGGGCGAGTGGACAAGCAAAAGAAATCATAGGTATTTAAACATTTATGTACATCACTTAGCAGAAGATTTTAATCTAGGATTAATTCCAATAGCTGTTTTCTGTGATGCTCAAAGAACATTAGAGTTGACATCTGGAAGACTTAAAATATTCAACTTAAATCTAGAAACTGATATTGTTGCTGCAACAAATGATGGGGCTGCTCTTATGATAAAATTTGGCAAATTATCATGTATAATTAATCAACTATGATATTCACGTGCAATCCACTTAGCAGTTACTGATGTAAACATAGAGGCTGAAGCTTTAGCTTCTAAAATTGACATTATTAAATTGTCTGAAAGGTACAATATTTCAAAATTCTATTGTGAACACCGATTCAGATCCATCAAGAAGAAATCGAAGATTCAAGATTCAGATCAAGAAGAAATCGAAGATTCAAGATTCAGATCAAGAAGAAATCGAAGATTCAAGATTCAGATCAAGAAGAAATCGAAGATTCAAGATTCAGATCAAGAAGAAATCGAAGATTCAAGATTCAGATCAAGAAGAAATCGAAGATTCAAGATTCAGATCAAGAAGAAATCGAAGATTCAAGATTCAGATCAAGAAGAAATCGAAGATTCAAGATTCAGATCAAGAAGAAATCGAAGATTCAAGATTCAGATCAAGAAGAAATCGAAGATTCAAGATTCAGATCAAGAAGAAATCGAAGATTCAAGATTCAGATCAAGAAGAAATCGAAGATTCAAGATTCAGATCAAGAAGAAATTGAAGATTCAAGATTCAGATCAAGAAGAAATCGAAGATTCAAGATTCAGATCAAGAAGAAATCGAAGATTCAAGATTCAGATCAAGAAGAAATCGAAGATTCAAGATTCAGATCAAGAAGAAATCGAAAAAACTAGTCATCAAAGTAAAGCTTTTTTAAAAGGAAAATTCAATTAATAAGTTTCTTGAAGAGTCTGCAGAAAACCTCACTAATCCAAGGACACTGAAAGCTGAGTTTTCATTATTTGAGGCAATGCATAAAAGAGCGAAAAACTTAGATTTGTTATTTGATGCACTTAAAACTATTAAACCAAGCTCAGTACCTAGTGAATGCGTATTTTCAATTGCTGGCAATTTTGTGTCCAAAATTAGAACAAGGCTTAGCCACCATTTTTAAAAATCCTATTTCCTTAGGAAAAATTACGATAAGTGAAATAAATTTAATATATAAATTAAGTGTTTCTCATTATTCAATTTTTATATAAGAAAAAATTTGAAAACCAGTTAAAACCGTTTTTTTGGAATTAAAAAAACGTTTTTTTAAAAACGTTTTTTTAATTCCAAAAAAACGGTTTTAACTGGTTTTCAAATTTTTTCTTATATAAAAATTGAATAATGAGAAACACTTAATTTATATATTAAATTTATTTCACTTATCGTAATTTTTAAAAAAAAACCCTAATTATCATCATCATAATTAGGGTTTTTTTTTAAAAAAAAACCCTAATTATGATGATGATGATGATGATGATGATGATGATGATGATGATGATGATGATGATGATAACGATGATCATGATCATGGTGGTAATGATGATTATGATGATCATGTTGATCATAATAATGTTTATATATGCATATATATACAAAATATAACATAAATTTTGAAGAAATAAATATACTTTAGGATGTATAATTGTTTATGCAGCCCCAGTTACAAACCCAGCCCCGGCTATATTTTATCAAGCCTTATCCTGGCCCCAATCAAATATCAAACCTATTCATTTACTATTTGCAAGTAACAGCTTATCTTATTATATATATATATATATATATATATATATATATATATATATATATATATATATATATATATATTTATATATATATATATATATATATATATATATCAATATTATGGTATTTGTTTACATTTTTTATTCAAATATTGATTATTTTATGTTTTTTGTGATCAATTAATGACTATATTCTATCTAAATTAAAAAATTAAAACAATCATGAATTGTAATACCTTTAAATTCTTCTATTCCTAAAGAATTGTTAAAAATAGTTTCAAAAGCCTTTACTCTCACTACATAGATTGATGTTTAACTTGATGCTACATTAGCTGTCATAGCTTGTAAATTAACTTCTAGGTGTGCATTTGGTATGCACACCTAGAATGCTGATCTTTTTATTGTGGGCATTACGATATCAAAAACTGGTTACTATATGTAACATGTGTCAAATATCAACCTTGTTAAAACTAGGGTTGATTGCAAAATCTGTTTATTTATTTCACAATTTTATATGGTTCAGACCACTTATTTTAACACTTTGTGGACTATCCTAGATTATAAATAATTGCCTCAACCAGTGAAGAACCCAGAGTTTATTTGGGGACAACTTTTTTTTCAGCAGCGTAAGGGAGGGGGTAAGCTTCAGGGCTACAACCTTAATTTCTTTACAACTCTTTTTTTTTTTTTGTATATGGGTGCCATTCAAATTTTTTTTACGATTTTTGCGGTAAATTTTTTTCTTCGCAAAAAAGTGCCTATATTCTGCAATGTTTCTGCTAAACTTCGCCAGGATGGGGGGTATCGCCGTCCAAATTTTTTTCACAACAGTCCACTATTCGCAAATAGACATTGCAAATAGTGGACTGTTTTTAATAAAAACTTTAAAAAAGTTATTTTTAACTAACAATCAAATTGTATTACTTTTTTAAAGAGGAAAAAAGAAAAAAAACTTGTTAAAGTAAATGTTTTAAAAGAAGGAAAAAAAAAAGAAATTTCTGAAAGAAAATAAGTAAAAAAGTATCGAAAATAGGTTTAAAAAAAAAGTTAATGAAAAAAATAAAAAGAACGAAAAGGAAAGAAATAAAAAACTATTTAAACATTGGAAAGAAGTAACGGAGAAAGATAGACAAACCAAGATTTTTTTCAAATATTTCTCAAGTTTTCTTTCTTATATTTTTTAAGTTTAAGTTAATTATATTTCTTATAATTATTTATTTATGATTTATTTTTTAGTTATGCTGTTATGCAATCTTGTAGAAATATTTTTTTTTTCCTTTAGTTTTTTAGCATATAAAGTTTTACCTAATATTTTTTGTTAGTCATTTATTGTTTTAGTTTTTAGTTATCATTTATTTTTAAATAGTGATATATAAATTTTGTATTTGTTTTTATACTTATTTTAGCCATTTATTATATGTTTTTTTCTACCGTTTATTATTATTTTTTTTTTTTATTTGTTGTTTTTATTTTTAATCTTATGTTGTTGTTTTATTTGTTGTTGTTTTTTTGCCAAAAGTACTTGACGTAATTTTTTGTTTTGTTTGTAATGTTTGCTGTGACATTTTGCTTTGTTTTGATTTTCTCAGTGCTTTTCTGTTTATATTTTATTTATTTATTTGGTCATTATATTTGCAATATATTTTGGTTATTATATTATAAGAACTATATATTTACTAAAAATATTTACTAAATCTTTAAAAAATTTTTAGCAGTAGTTGTTTTTATGTCATCGTTAGTTGTTACATTTTGTCTTTACTGTTTGTAACTGTAACTTTGAATGCATAATTGATTGTTGTAAAGAAAGTAATATTTTGTTTATTAAATTAAAAGATTTATTTAAAATAATATAATTACTTTACTATTATTATCACTATTGTTTTAAAAAAATGTTATTGTTATTATTTATTGTCTTTGTTGTTATTGTTATAAATATTGTTTTTCTTATTATAGCAATTATTATTTTAATCATTTTCATAAGGTGTTTACCTAATGTTAGTAATTTTACTATTTGTAAACAACCTTGAAATGTAACCAACTATTTCAGAAATATATTGATTGATTGAATTTCAGAAATATATTGATTGAACAAAACCTTTACAAAATAAAGTATCAACAATTTTTTCAAGTTTTACAATGGTGAATGAATCTTTTACTTATTTTTTAACATTTCCATATTTTGACTGCAGCTTTCAAAAGGTTCTTAAGTTTAGTTTAATGTTACTTTCGAAAATGTTAAAATATTTAGTAGATAGCTTGGATGGTTAAAGTTGTTTCTCAATCAAATTTATTTACAATTATATTTATAAAAGTTTATTTTGTATTTTATAATACAATTAAAAATTTAACGAAATAGAAAAAACCAGAACAGTTGATTTTTAAGAATTGATATATAGCGAAAGGTGAGACATTTTGAAAACCTTAAGTTATACCATTACCATATCATAAAAATCATTGATCAGATCATAAAAATTGTTGACCTTTCATTGATCAGATCATAAAAATCATTGATCAGGTTAGAACCAAGACCATATCAAGAAAATCATGAATCATAAAAATCATCTTATATTTGTGTTTTGAATGTTTCATACAATAACTTTAGTGCACTTTTTATTGGTTGACTTTATTAGTAAATCATTGTTAGCTGTTTAAGAAATGTTTTTGAAAGTTTCTGTTTGGAAATGTTCCTTAAGTTTTAAAAGCAACATATTTTTATTTGGCTCATAAATTTTTTAACTAAACATTTGGGATTTAATTATTATTTTTTTATTTATATATTTAATTAGTTATTTATTATTTATTAGTTCGGTTTTTTTCTTCTTTTTTTTTATATTTTTTTATATTACTTTTGCCACCTGATAAGTTTGAGTTAATTTGCTCTTTGCATAAAAAACAAAGTTCATAGCTCAATAAACTGAAAATGTGAAAATCAGAAATATTTCTGAGTATTGTTGTTCATGAACACAACACAATTCATCCCTTGATCTCAATTTGGGTGAGGTGATTAGGGTGTGTAATTTTTAAATGAAAAGTATAAATAATATTTTTTTGAATGAATTTAAAATAACAATCTTTTTATTAACATATGATATCATATAAGAATGCTATTAAGTAATGTTGCTGATATTTTTTTTTAGTTTCGTTAGGTTTTTTTGACGACATCTTTATACCATATGAATATCTGCAGCAAAAATCTAAATTGTATCTTTTTTCATTGATTTGATTTTTTTAAATAACCTTTTTTATGGTTTTTAAGAACTTTATAAAAATAAGTTTTGTTCACAGTTTTTTTGTTACCATAAATATAAGTATATACAATGATTTTTTTTTTTCTTTGAAATAAAGGTCTTGGTTTAGATTAAAGACACAGTAATCTTTCATAAAATGTGTTTAAAAAATTTGTTAGAAATTGTTGATACAATAAAATTATAAATTATTTTTATATATTATAATTTATAAAAATTATATTTGAATTATATTTTCTGTTACTCAGTGTTTTTTGGACTATATTTTCTTGTAATTTATTTTTAAAATTTAATTATTCATAAAATTATCTAAAAACTCTAGTTTTCCAACAAAATATTGTAAGCCATTGGATTTCTTTATTTTTAAACATTTGTATGTGTGTAAGGGGTAGGAGTTTATTTGCCTTTAACAAAGTTTAGTGTAGATGCAGAGCAACTTTGGGTGTGGCAATATGAAACAGAGGAGGGTTCACATGACCTTTATATGGACATTAATGAAGAAATTCGCATCAGAGTTATTGATGAGGAATTTCTAGATTTGACACCTGAAGGACCTGCACCTCCAACTATAGAAGGTGAAACCAAGTCTTTAGAAACTAAAAAGTTGCCATATACTATTACTGTAAGTAAGATGAGATTTTTCTGTATATATTATATTGACATATATGTGGTATAATTTTATTATTAATTATGTAATTTAATTAGATGTATAATTGTATAGTTGTATAATAAAAACTTCTATTTTTGAAAAAGTTATGTTTAATATTATTATAATTTTGGTATGCATTTTTCAGGCTTCAATCAGTGAATCTGGACTAGGATTATTATCCTGGTGGACATAATTTCATAAGTGCTTCCAGTTTGTATATTGTATGATTATCAACAGTTGCAGTACAACTTGAGATTCTATATGATAAAGTGAAGTTGCAGAAAGTTCTATGAAGAAATGTGAATAATTTTAAACTATTGAGTAGTTAAAAAAATGTGATTCAAGGTTTAAATAAATGTTATATTCAATGATTCCCCAAGGCTTAGGGTTCATTGTTGTTGAAGAGGCTTTTATTTAGTTTATTTATGTTTTTTTATTAATTTTTTTTAATTTCTATTATAGAAGTACAAATAAACAAACTAAATGTTCAATATAAACACATTTGAACTTAAAAAATAAAAATCATATTATATATAATTGTTTTTGATTTTATTGCATAACATTGTTTTTCATCATATAATAAAAAATTAATTTTTTATCAATTTTAAAATGAATTTTTTCATAAAATATGACTATTAATTTTGGTTTTTTCTTTTTATTTTGTTTCTTTTTTTTTTTTTCTTTTTTTTTTTACAACTTTGACTTAAAAAAAAAAGTTTTTATAATTTTAGGGACTCATCTGATGTTTATGGGTTTTAAGCTACATTTAAAAATAATTTTCACTAGGAAATATTTATTTTATAAAAATTATCAAGTTACTTGATATTATTTAATAAATATTTAGAAATTCTATATTTTATATATCTCTAATATTTTGTTTTAAGAGCTTTCCTAATATATACATTTATATTTACACACATATTTATACACACACATATATACATATATCCTAATATATACATTTATATTTACACACATATTTATACACACACATACTCATGGAGGGGAGAGAAATACTTTTGGAATGTGAATTTATAATATAAAATATTTTCATATTTTATAAAACATTTTTGGACTTTTATCTAAAATAAAAAAAATCTGTTGTTTTGAATTTTAATTGGTGGTCTAAATTTAAAATCTTGGTTTAAAAACAGGGTTGGCATTAAAAAAACTCGCCCGAAAAAAACCGTCTAATAAAACTCAATAATACTGGCCTAAAAAACCCTCAAGATAACTCTGGCAATCTGGGTTTTATTATTTTTATTAAGGGTTGTTTTTTTTTAAGATATTTTATAGTTTTATATATTTTATATAAAGGGAAAACTTCAATTCAATTACAAAATTATTTTTAATAAAAAAATTTTTCACAATAATATTTTTGGAAACCAAATGAACTAAAAGATTAATTCAATAAGATTTTTTAGAATAAACACACTTTGATAAAAATTACTACATTTTTGACATTTTTTACAAAACAAAAAATAAATATTTTTGTACAAGCTTTTTTGCCTTTTCCCTTCTCAAAGATTTCATTTCTAACTTTTGACTAGATAAAAATAGGAAAATATTCTTTCAATTGATCTAGAAATAAATTTGCAAAAACCTGACAGCAATTTTTCTAAACTGATTTCTTGTCTATGGGTTAATATTAGACCAACATTCACTGGATAATATTATTGATATAATTTGATTACGAAAAATCCTAATATTAAATGCATCACAATCCTTTAATTTAAGCAAAATCAACCAAGATTCAAAATCAGGGTAATTAATTAAGTTGTTCTGCCTCATCTTTATTTTCATTTATCCTACTTTTAATTATTATTTTTCCTTTAGGTCTATACAGACTTATTTTGTAATAAAAACCTTAGTTTAAAAAAATTAAATACTTGATCTAAAACAACAATAAGTTAGAGTTAGATTTGGAGACTTTTAGCTTATCTAAATATTGCTAGAATTTCAATTAATATTGATTAATATGGCAAACTTATAAAACTAACAGATGCTAAAGAGATTGTTTTAACTTGAGATGATGGTCCAGCTATCAAAGCAGATTTACTAATATTTAAATCATTATTTGGAAATGTTCACAATTTTTATTCAAATATTTTTACAGATTTGTTGACACCTCCCTAAGGCTTAGAAGGCCACAAAAGCCTAGGAGGCTACCTTATTGTGGTTACAACCCTCTCTCAACTCTATTTCTCAAAAACATGAACCTTTTATGAACATGGCCGCTGCACAGAGAAACAAGTTTGTTCATTTGAATTTCAAGTTCAAATTTGAAGTTTGATTGAAACTTAAGCTACTTCCTCCCATTCTCCAGCCTTCTTTTCCTATTTCTCATTGACACTTTTAATTACAAAAAATACTAATTTTTAATCTAAAATAAATCAATACACATAGGTTTGAAAATTGTTTGAAACAATTTGAAAATAGATCAAAAAAGCTATAAGTTATAAAAAAAAAACAGTAAAAAAAATATATTACCAATTAAAAAAGTTAAAAGTTTTGTTTAGAGTGATTGCAGTTAAAAATACACATAGAATTTTTTTTTTTTCTTTCACAGTTTTAACTTATGTTAAAAAATCTTTTTTAAAATAATTTGAAAAATTCTTGTTGCAAATTATTTAAAATATATTTTAAATAAAGTTGAAGTAGAAAAACTATACAAAGTTTCAATATCATTTAACAAAACAAAACAAAAAATTAACAAATACGAAATAAAAATAAAACCCAAAAAACCTCAATAAAACACAAAATTACCCATTAAAACCTAAACTTACCCAAAAACAACCCACCATGCTGGGTTTTTTTTTTTTTAAATCTGGGTTTTTGCCAACCCTGCTTTAAAACCTAAAATCTCAACCTAAATTTTTATTAAAAAAAAAGTTTACAGAGTTTAAAAGTAATCTCTCCTCAGTTATTTACAAAAAGAAGATATTATAAATAAAATATGAGCTGGAAATAGAGTTTTATTAGAAGTTGTTTGATGTGTTGATGTTTTTTTTTAACATATCAAAAAAAAATCTTCATTATTCTCAGTTCTTACTGCGACTAATAAAGATTTTCCTTCGTTTTCCATAATCTTCCTTAATTTTTCAATACAGTTAATTCTCTATAACTCAAACCTTAAAAGGATCAAGGGAAAAAGGTTTGAAACAAATTTATGTTAAGTTTGGCTGATTTGAGATATTAGTTTGAGTTGCGACAATTTTCCTATATTCATTATATTAGTAAAAGAGTAAAAAATGTTTTGATGAAAATGTTTTTGTATTCTATTCATGTTGTACAATCAAAAAATAACATTGCTAAAAGTTTACTAACACAATGACTTCCTTATCGTTTAGTAATAAAAATGTGTCTAAAGGCTAGTGATTTATTATTAAGAAATTAATAAATCAATAATTATTTTTTTAACAGTATTTTATTATGATTTATTTTGTAACATTAGTTAATAGTTGTAGTATTATTTAATGTCTAATAATATTCTATTCTATTCATATCCAAGTGTATTCTATTCATATCCAAATGTCATAATCCAATATCCAATATTCTATTCTATTCAATCCAAAATTTAGAAAGTATTAGGTTACTGTTATTTATGTTTTATATAATCAAGTTATTTTGATTTCTTTATTTCCCAAACAAAAATTTCAACTAAAGGAATTTGTTGTAAGGGGATTAAAAACAGTTTGACTTAACAAAGTTAGAGTTATCACAGATTTGACTTTACCGGAGAATAATTTAATAGTAATCAAGTAGACAATTTCAAGGGACCAAATGAAACAGTTTGAGTTCAAGTTAACAGGTGTTCGAATTACCGGCAACTAACTGTATTCTTTTGTCAATAAATAATTCTAGATTTTCTTATTTTTTAATTACTTTGCTGTTTTTTTGTGTTTGAGCTCACTTACAGGCAAACATCAACAAAGCAAATTACAATAGTTTTTGATATTTTCATCATTTAATGTTTATATTTTTATTGTATTTATTTATTCTTCAAATTTTTGCTATTAATAATGTTTTTTATTATTCATCATTAGTGCTAATAAATTAAACTAACAAGAAATGAGTCCCTTGTTTATCAATAGCAAAACATAGGGATGAAAGAGGAACAGAAACAGGCGTCTCAGGAAAAATCTCAAGTTATTGAAAATCTTGAAAAAATATTTTTTGACAAACCAGAGACAGTTCCAAAAAAGCCATGTCGGACATGCACAGAATTTAAAAATTGGACAAGGAAAATGACTGGAACAGCTACTAAATCTAATGTATGATGGTTTGTATTTTCCTTTTAATGTACATTTCAACAAAAATTACAAAAATGTTAATAATAATAATAATAGTTTTCATAATAAAAATATTAACGGTTTATTTATAATAAAGTTGTAGCTTGCGCAACGGTACTATTGCTTGAATTTTTTATCTTAAAGTCATGATACTCAAGTATGATTGGTTCATTTAAAGTGACAGCTGCAAAAAATTTGATTTTTTCTTATTCACTATCAATAAAGCTGCTAGCAAGCACTATCAAGTTTGGAGTTACTAGAAAACAAAGAATTTGGTTAAAGAACAAGGAAACAGTTGACAGAAAAGATGTAGGTTGTATGAGTCAAGAAAACATGAAGATTTGTGAGTTCCAACGGGTTAAAGTGTAAGGTAAAAAAATGAGAGTTAGCTGAATGATGAGTCAAGCGAAAATGAGTTTTGGTTGATGGAACTAGAAATGATAGCTTCTTTGAGCAATGGCCATGGCAGTGTTTTTAGAAAAGAGAAAGAGATTTAACTTTATGACGATGAAAGAGAGAGGCTCGCGATTAGCAATTAAAACTGGTCCAACTTTGTTTACAATGTGTTTTTTGACCTTATTTAAAGGAGAATGAGCATCATTAGAAGAACCAGCTCAATTATGATAACATTATTTGATACAGCGAAGAATAAGAAATTTGTAGAAATAGAGAATAGAATCAGGAGTAATATAATGGTGAACATGAGAGAAGCAGATGCTAACCTAGTTATTAATTGTATATATGGCTAAGTTTGCAAAGATGTTTATTAAAAAAAAACGAAAAAAAAAACGCAAAATTCGTTTTTGAAATAAACCAATAATTGCATAATAAACTGGAATGCTTTCTTAAAGGCACGGTTATTGCAAAAAAACTTTTTTCACATTGCGATAAACAATTCTTGTTATGTATATATTCTTGTAACATTAACATTACAAGCATTTGCTTGTAAAAAGTATAAAATCAAATATAGTATTCAACAAGCAATTTTAATGAATAAACTGAATGATAAAATGAATAAACGCATAAACTGAAAGCTCTTGTAAAAAGCTTAGAGGAGCAGCTGGCACAGCTCGCCATGATCAACTAATCAGAAATCACAACTGTGACTTTTAGAGAAAAATTATAACATTGTTTTAATTTTTAACGCAACAGCATTAGTAGAATTAAGTTTGATCAAGATGATTTTAACATTGTTGCTGTTTAAGTTAGATATTTTAAATGCAATTACTTTTTTATCATATGGAAATATCTATGTTGTATAGAACTGTTTTAAATTTGATAATATAATTGAACTTAAGAGTTTAATACCTGAGTATATTTATGGAATACTATTCAAATTATTGAGCAAATAAAAAAATTTTGAAAATTATCTATCATTATTGGGCAAATGCTTAATACTTAATGTTACTTTTTAAAAAAATTTTATTTTGTTGTTGATACTTCTGACTACTTATCTAATGAAAATTATTTTACTTGCACAATGTACATGCTTAAAAAATTAAAGTGTTAAAAAAAATTATAAAACCTCCAAGATATGTTGTGTTCATATTAAGGAGAATGATAAAAAAAAGTGTTTGGGCTAAATCTTTTTGTTGAAATACGAGTTTATTGAAATTTTATTAAATAATTTATAAATTTTTTATTTGTTTACCTTAATAACAAATACTTACTGGATTTAACTAGAGTTATTTCGGGAAATTTTAACCTTACTGGTAAGTTATTTACTGGTCATTTTTTAACTTACTGGTAAGAGCTCAAAAGTTAGCATTTTAAGTCAATCAACTATTTTTTAAAAAAAATATGCAATAGTCAATATATATATATATATATATATATATATATATATATATATATATATATATATATATATATATATATATATATATATATATACATATATATATATATATATATATATATATATATATATATATATATATATATATATATATATTGAGAAGTTTTTGAAGAGACAACCTTATGAAATTATTTTATTAATGAAATAAAGAAGTTTTATTTATGAAATTCTTGCAAAATCAGTTTCTGAGGGTTGGTTCACAGCAAATGAAATACAAAATGATCATTCATAACAATCTTTTTCTAATAAAAGTTAAAACCTTTCCAAAATCTCTTCAAAATAAAAGATTTAGTAATTTTATACTAAATAAGAGTAAATAATCTTAGTAAATGTTGACCACACCTTTTTAGTGTGGTCACATTTACTAACAAATGTTATGACTCGCATAGTAGGTCTGAACATTTGAAAGTAAACTGAAAGGGTTAACTTGTATAATTCTTACTAAAAAACAATATTTCAATAATAATATCTATTGTAATAAATAAGTTTTTTCAATCTGGCTAGTTACAAGAACTCGTTACAAAAAAAAATTTTGGTGTATTATATAAGTGAAATATAAATAAATAATTTAAATAAATATATATATTTTTTTTGCTTCATGTTTTTTAGCACAATTTGAATAATTAAACACTTGCTATCCATCTATTTGAATATCCAAAAACTACAAAGAGTGTTAAACTCTAAACTAAAATGCAGTAGTGGTGAAATAGTAAACCGAATTTACAAAAAAGTTAAAAAATGAAGCCGTTATTGTAATTTTGTACTTTTTAAAATTTAACTAAATAGTTATTATTGCTCACTACACCAAAATTATTTAAAATTTATTTTAGAACATAAGTATTATAATATTATTATAATTATTATTATATTACTATTATTATATTATAATTATTATTATATTTATATAAGTATTATTAAGTTAAGTTTTAAGTCAAAGTTTAAGAGTTTATATATTTAAAATTGAATATATTTATACATAAAAGATTGTTTTAAAAATTTTAAAAATTTTAATTTATATTTAATTATGTCATTTAAAAGAATAAAGTTATGTGTAGTGTTTTCAAATCCTTATTGTGTGCTAACTTTTATTTTAAATTAATAATTTATAGTATAATAGTTTATAAATGTGGAATAAATTGAAAAATAACATGAATATTATAAAGATTAGTTGAGATTTATGACCTTAATCATAAATCTTGTAAACTTTCATAAAAGTTTTTTTTTTGTTTTTGCTGTGGATATTTTTGCCGTTTATTCAGAAAATAGAAATTGCAAAAGAAAAAAAATAATTTTAAGCATATTTTGAATTGAATAAATGGTAATGTTTAATGAGAGAAAAATCTCAATTAGCAATGTTATGTTGAAATGTTGTTGAAAACAAAATGTGAATAATAATTCAATCTCCAGAAACTGAAACACTAAACACAACTTTTCATTTAAAGATTGGTTTATAGTAGAGGAATAGAGGTGAAGAAAGTGAACAAATGTGATCGACAAAAAAAATCTACTTATTTTTGATTTTTTTCCTTATAAAACTACAATATACAATGTACAATATACAATATACAACTAATCAATTAAAATAAATGTTTTCAATAATTAGCCTACTTAGGTTTTAAAGTATAAATGTTCTAATATATCTTTGTATTCATTTTTTCTTTGTTTAATAAATGATAAATAACCTATAATTTTAATTAAAGTATTTTTATTTTAATAGAATAATATAGTGGAAGCCGAGCACGAGAAAAACATTTCTGAGTTGAAAAGAGTTGATTGTCCTTTAGATAGTATCGAACTTGGTCGTTCAACATGGAGTTTTTTGCATACAATGGCTGCATATTATCCTGAACAACCAACTTCCAAGCAGCAAAGTGAAATGAAAGATTTTATACACATTTTCTCAAAATTTTACCCATGCTCATGGTGTGCAAAACATCTGCAAGAACGGTAAATTTAATTTTTATTTATAATTTAAATTTTACCCTACTAGATTGCAATCAGGTGACAATATTACCTTAATTAACTTTTGACAGTTTAAAAGTTTTATCTCAAAACACTGAATTTTAGGAATCTATTTAGAAATTAATTCTAGGAGAAGTGAACTTGTTGAGCTTTATTTGTGGCGTAAAAACCTAACAGTTTATGTTAAAACTTTTTCAAAATTTTTGTTTTTCATTTCAAATAATTTTAAATAATATTAAATAGATTTTAAATAGTCCCAAGTCAAAGAATCTAAATGAGTATATTTGATTCATCACAAAAAGGTGTATTTTCCACACTGAATATTATTTTTGAATTTATGCATTGCTTTTAAAGGTTTTTATTTCTGTATGATTTCTGTCTGTCACCTTGTACCATCAGTTTTAAGCAAACAAAAATACTGAAATAGTAAAATAAATATATGTTTAAGAAAGTTTTTAAAATAATCAACCTTCAGCTCCGATTTATCTTCATGTTTAAACATTTAAAAATATAATTTTATGACGAAGCCAAATTATTTTAAAAACTTTTTATTATATTTGTTTTAACTTTACAAAATCAAGTTTGACATTTTTTTGTTTTAAATTTTTAAAGGATTCTATTATCCTTATTTATATTGTGTTGTTATATATAGGGATTGTTGCTTGTAGGGAATTAGTTTTTAAGGGAAGGAAAAAATGCAGGTAGCGTTATAAAGTCTATTTTTAAATTATATGTTTATATCAAATGTCAAATCTACCTTATTCAAATTGTTGGTTTGTAAAAATGTAAAAATCTACTTTATTAAAAATGTTGATTTAAATTTAAACTTAGATTATGTCAGGAAATGTTGGTTTAAATTTAAACTTACATTATGTCAGAAAATGTTGGTTTAAATTTAAACTTACATTATGTCAGAAAATGTTGGTTTAAATTTAAACTTACATTATGTCAGAAAATATTGGTTTAAATTTAAACTTGCATTATGTCAGAAAATAGTTTCTTGAAATCTTGAATTCTTAAAGTAGAGCATTTGATGTGGTTGAGAAAAAACTTTGTATCCTTAGTTTAGTTAAAAGATTCAGAAATAAAACGTTCGAATTAAGTTTTAAATTTTATAAATTTATAAATTTTAAATTGAGAAATTGTTATTTTTCAGTTATCTGCTATATATTAAAAAGTTACCACACTTGAACGGTTTTATCAAAAGTTATGACAATTTAAAAATTTTAAAACAGACAATTTAAGTATATATTTAATTTAAAGATTTGTTAAAAAACTTTCTTAAGTTTTAAATTTTGATATTACTGGATCTCCAGTAACATCAAAATGGTCTGCAAACAAAACTCTGTACCTTCCTTGTTCCTATAAAAAGTAATACCCCTATAAAAAGCAGAAAAAATCTCCCCTGCAAGAAAAAGCAGATAAAAAGTTACAGAGCAGAACAATTGTTTTAACAAAATTACAGGAGGATATCAGTGCACTATTCTACAATCAATGATTAAAAAATTGTATGGTACTGATGTATGATCTGCAGTTGCGTTATTTGAAAGAATAACTCCTAATAACAAGTATATAATAGTTGTCTAATTGGGTTTAAAGGGTATGCTATCCACTAGATTTTCTATTGTATTTTTTAACTTTTATATTTTTATTTTTTTTTATTTTCATTTTTCAATTTTTTTTTTATTTTTCCTTGTATCTTTGTTATATAACATTATTTTTAAACTGAGAAAATATCTTAACTTGTTATCTTGAACACAACAGTTGCAAAAACAGGTAAATACAAAAAAATCTATATTTATGATTCCACCTAAAGTTAAAAAAATTGATCAGTTAAATAATAATAGCTGGTACTAACTAAATAATAATAACTGGTACTAACTAACATTAATATATATTACCACATACTATATAATATTAACTATTGCTGATCCTAACTCCCATAGTTATAAAAAGATATGACTTTAATTGTAAAAAAATAAACAGTTTAAAAATATAAACAGATAAAAAAAAGGTAGATCAGTTAAATACCTGTTTGAATTCATGTGATTTTTGCATTTTGTTGAAGTGTTAAAAATGTCTATATAATTAATATTTTAGATGTTTGGTGTTTAACTGTCTAATATATGATCAGAATAGTATTAATTTATTTGAACAATTTATCATATACAACCTAGAAATGTTGTTTGGTATAGAATCTATCAATTTTTACAAATATTTTGGATTTATGGGTCATTAAACCAAATCTAAAGAGTAGTGGTGGTAAGCTTAGTTTTAGTCATGTTTTCACAGTTTTTTTTTTGAGATCTAGGATGTTGCCGGGCTATTTAAGTGTTTTTTACTATTATTTTTTACCATAAATTTTTTACTTTTTTGGATGTATGGCATGTGGCTGAATCCTGCTACAATATTTGATTTCCATTTGGAAACACTTTTAACATCTCTGAAATTAAATGTGTTTGTAGAACTTCAATGTAAGTGTCAGAGTTAATTGTGTCAGTAACTGGGTAGAGTGCTCCTGGTACAATGGCAGAGAAATAATCCCTAAACATCTTTTCTGGATACTTGTCATATTCTTCAATATGTCCAGGTCTTATAGGCTGTCAGAGCAATGAACAAACTTTGATTGCTAGCCTTGTACTTCGAAATGTGATTCATCAAAGAAAAAAATCCTGTAATCAATAAATAAACAAGTTAACAATTATTGTCTGTTATTTTTTTTTTTTTTTTTTTTTTTATATATATATATTTCGTCAATAAACAATCATTTTACAATATTTTTTGTATTGAACTAAGTTTTTTTGATTAAAAATAAATAATGAATGCATACCGAGAAAAAATAATGTTGTTGTTTTAGCCGAAGCTTGCCTTCTCTATTTTATTCAAAAACTCAGAGTTTTTAAATTATATTCTGATAAAAAAATTGTGTTATAATAGTTACCCTTATAAAATTGGTTACAGCATTTTTATTTGGTTAGACTAGGGTTAGGACTAATTGTAATAAAAATGAAAACAGTAACAATAATTATTGTTATTGTATTAACTTAATTTAAAAACAATAACAATATTTGTGATTTACAACTATTGTAATACTGTAATACAATAACAATAAATATTGTATTGCATCTTATAAGTGCATCGGATAAGTGACCTTGAAATAAGGTACAACTAAAATATTAGTATTGATTTTGTATCTTTTTTATTTACTGAATATAGTGATATTCAGTAAATAAAAATTTACTGAATATCACTATATTCAGTAAATAAAAAAGATACAAAATCAATACTAATATAATATAAATTTCCTCATTGCAAACTTTATATAGCTCTGTAAAAGTGAGTTTAATTGGGCCTGTATTTCTTTTACTGCTGGGGATAGACATGATTAATTACTACATTTTCTTCCACTAAGTTATTTGCTTTTAACAAAATAAAAATAGTTCACATTTTTAGACAATTTAATTGATAATTACCCAGATCAATGGTTCTCTGATTCCATAACGATGTAAATGATTACACATTAGCAGTTAGATATATTATGAAAAAAATTATTTTCACGCACTTAATGCAGTTAATCAATTAGTTTAGGCGTCATCATCCGGTTAAGCATGTCAACATCAGTTTAGACAAAATTATAAAAAAATAAAAAATTTCACTTCTTAAATTAAGTAAATAATTACTTAATTACAAGTATATGATAAATTGTATATTTGTATGATTTTGAATGAATATTATTAATGTTAATTCTAAATAAATTATTATTTAAACAGTTATATTATTGAACTCAAAATAAATAAAATTTATATATGTAAATGGTTGCTAGAAACGGGTGCCACGTGCGCCCCTGAACCTAATATTTATTAAGTATATGTAATATATATACTTCTTTATAATATAATCAATCAAATACTCAATTTTTGATTAATATCATCAATAACAATTCTAAAACCAAAGATGCTTTAAAATATACCTTCTTTTTAGATATAGTTATGAATTGTCATTACCTGGACTGTCAACAACTTTAACCCAATTAGGAGACATTCACCATAAAACCTTTTTATATTGAAAAAAGAATCTAAATACTATAAAATATAATAGCTGAAATAGTAATACTATACACCACAGTACTTATTGTGATTGTTTTTTATCCCAATGCTAAAAAGTGTTCCTAATTTTACATGTCTTAAATACGAAACGAACTATACTACCACAGCAAACAGTTCAGGAGTCTAGAGTCATAGCATGCCATGACATGAGCAATCAGCTGACAGGTGACAGCACACAGGCAGAATTTCGTTGACAAGTGCCATTTTGCAGCAGACAAAACAAGTGCAACTTTTTTGGTTTGTTTCATTTTCCAGAAGTTTCCAGAAGCATGCAGAAGCTTCCAGAAGTTTCCAGAAGAAGCATCCAGAAGTTTCCAGAAACATTCAGAAGCATCCAGGCGCATCCAGAAGCTTCCATAAGCATCAAAAAGAAGCATCTAGAATCTTCCAGAACAGGTTCACACAGGTTCATTTTACTATATAAGAGACATGTAAACCGACATGTAATTCAGTCAGTATATGGAAGTCAATCAGTCAGTATTATCAAGACAGTGAGTTTTATCAAAGTGTTTTATCAAAGAACATTAATACAAGAAGTAAAATACAAAACGTGTTTCATTACATCAATACAGTCCACATCCAACCAAGACGTTGTGTTCCACAGAGCAATATTGTATCACCACAAAGTAAATGTAACATGGTAAGCCTTGAGAAGCGTGATTGTTTATTTTTATTATTTTTATAACTTCAAGTGCAAAAATGTCTCCCGACAGTCTTGGATTAATCCTAAGAAAGAAAATTATGGGCTATTACTTAAGTGGTATGTCACAAAAAAGTATTTGTGATAAATATCGCATTAAAAAATGGACCGTATCAAGACTATGTTCCAAATATCGTTTTACAGGGAAGTTTGCAGCAGATAACAAAGGTGGAAGACCGCGTTCCACCACTTCTAGAGAGGATTCTATGATCATCAGATCTGTCAAGAAGGATCCCTGGATATCATTGGTCAAGATACAAAAGCAATTAGTGTTGCCTGTATCGGACTGCACAATCAGACAACGTACTGTTAAAGCCGGATTGTTTTCTTGACGCCCTGCAAAGAAACCGCTGATTTCACTAAAGAACCAGAAGAAAAGACTCCTGTTTGCTACATCTCATATAAACTGGAATGTACAGAAATGGCAAACTATCCTATTCAGTGATGAATCGAAGTTCAACATTGGAGGGATGGCATTTGCTGTGTATGTCGACCGGCCAGAAAACGCCTCGATTTACGTTACTGCTATAAGACTGTGAAGTATGGTGGAGGCAATCTAATGGTCTGGGGTTGTTTTTCTGCTAACGGTCTAGGTCCAATACATCAAATCAATTAAATAATGGTCTATTTCATGTATAAAAATATCCTGTGTTACCTCCTACTGAATGGAATATGCCAATAAAATGAATTTTTTAAGCAAGATAATGAACCGAAACACACTGCAAAAGTAGTCAAGTAGTGGTTTCAAGACAACCACCTATCGGTGATGGATTGGCTGCCTCAATCTCCGGATCTCAACCTCTCACGAAAACCTGTGGGAGATCGTCAATCGCAGAATTAATTGTGAAGGTGTTTGTAATAAGGATCAACTGTTTGAACAAATCCAAAAGGCCTGGGCAGCGATTCCACAAAGTTTCATTGATCCCCTGATCGAATCTATGCCTCAAAGATGCAAGGCTGTGATCTACAACAAAGGATTCACCACAAAATCTTAATAGCGAAATACAGCTTGGTCAACATTTTGTGGAGTTGCACTTGTTTTGTTCAGAAGGAAATCAACTTTTTTTAATACTTTTGATTAATTTATTAATTTTCGTGTACAAATAATGAACTTTGTGATGAATAAAACTTGAAGATTTTTGTCTCTAAGCAGTTACATAGTTATATCTCTAAATTGAAAAAATGCACCACTTTTATATAAAGAAACTAAATTAGCATTATTTGGTTGCACTTGTTTTGTCCGATACTCCGCTAAAATTTTGCTGTAGAATGTTTGCTTCTTCACACTCAAAAATATGATTTTGAGTCTTCTTCTTCCTCATAATTTTCATCAAAATCTCTATTTATATCAAACATAATATACTGAATTAATAATATAATCAATCAAATACTCAATTTTTGATTTATATCATCAATAACGATTCTAAAACCAAAGATGCTTTAAAATATACCTTCTTTTTAGATATAGTTATGAATTGTCATTACCTGGACTGTCAACAACTTTAACCCAATTAGGAGACATTCACCATAAAACCTTTTTATATTGTATTTTGGTCTTTGAGAACCTATTCTGAATTTCTAGAAAGTGAAGAGGATGAAAGGCTTTTGTAGAATTTATCTGTACTAATGAACATTTTCTTTAGGCAAATTAATTTTTTTTTGGCAAAATTACTTCTGTTGGTGAAGTATGTTTAGTGTTATTTAAAAAAAAATAGTAATAAAAGGTAATGACAGTTTTATGTATCAAGAAAATGGATTGAAGTTACCTATCATCTTGTTCTCATATATTACATGATAAAATCAGGAGTACTAAAACATCATAAGGTGATTATTAATATCTAAGAACTGATTATTTAGAAGAAAGCCAGTAAAAGGATCTCCTTTGTGATTAACCAGTAATTTTCTATTATTTTCTTTCAGCTGACCTATTGTTCCTACAGTCTTACCAAACACAAGTTTTGATCTTTAAGCAAATCTGATTAACATTATTCTCTGATAAACTTTGATATACTTTGATACTATACCAAAAGAAGGTGAATCAAATAGTAAATCAAAAATTAGCATAGAATCAATGAAGAATTTATCTATACAAAATAGATTAACCATTTTGGCAGGTGATCTGAGCTCAAATAGTAACTTAATTAAAATAATTTTCATCATTCATTTGGTATAACAAAATGAGAGTAAGCAGGGTGCTGAAAAAGATTATGATGGTACAATATTAACCAATGGGCATAATTAGAATAATTGGATGAGAAAAAAAATAGTCTACTAACAATTGGAAACAGTAAACATACAGTTCCGAAAATCCCAGTGCAAATACTTCTAGTAAACTAATGGTAAAGATTAATCATCTTTTAAATAGCCAACCAGTATTGTACTGTTAAATAATGTTTACAACCAGTATTGTACTGTTAACCCATGTTTACCAGATTCTGTAGCATATGCATAGACCTGATAATTAATAAAAAAAACTTTTTTATTTCATTTGTTATTAAATGGTTTTTTTTCTTTCTTCCTGATGTATTAAAATAATTTCAACTTGAATTTTATCGATAGCAGTTGTTATCTAAAGTTTGAAGGTATGATTTAAAATGCAAAGTCTTCGTTGCCAATAAAATCAGTTGATGCGTATGTTTGCTTCTTTTGAAACCTTTTCCTGAAAGAATGACTTTTGAAACCTTTTCCTGAAAGAATGAATTTTTTTGAACAGCACCGCATTCGTTTAAAATATGTGGACCATCAGGTTTACTATATGAACAAGCAACAGGTTTAGAAGCATTTTGATATAAATTGTTTCTAAAGCAATAAAGACATAGTCAAACCATCTTGATTCTGCATTGCAAATTTTAGATTTGCCGAGTCATAAGTAACAGAGATTGAGAGATTGATTTTTTTGTATTCCTTTGCAACACATTGAGAAAATTGGTGAGTAAAAAGGATACAATTTTGGGATTTTTAATCTTAGTTTGTTTTTTACTGGGATTATTTCTGAAGTAAACATTTTTGTTTTTCTTTCGTATGCTTTAATTTTAAACCCAGTTGCTTCAACTGTTCTTCTTTTCTTTGTCTACTTACTTTACAGTGTACCGATACTTACTTTTGGTTGATATCAAATAGTACTAGCTGATACTGATACCTAAATTTCTAATTATATTTTAGAAATTAAATTTAGAAATAAGATTTAATAAAAAATAAATCCACAATGAACAAAGCAACTAAACTTCCAATCTTCAATTATTTTGATATTGTTGAAAACAATATGTAGACAAACAGATTTAGCAACTTTCCAAATTCAGAAAATGATGTCAATTCGATTTAAAATTGCTGATTAAAAAGTAGTCGATGTTTGGATTTAAAATCTTATTTTAATTGTTATTTGAATCATTTCTGGAGTTTCAAAATTCTGAAGTTTCAAAATTCAATCGTTAAAATCAAAAATTCAATCTTTCAAACGTTTTTAAAATAATCTTATTTTAACTGATATTTGAATCATTTCTGAAGTTATCTTTTTTGTTCAAAACTCAATTGTTCAAAAATTTTTTCGTTCAAAAATTCAATCAATCAAAAGTTTTGTAAAATAGAAAAATCATAAAGAGGAGCATCTTAATTTTAAATGTCTCTTTTTTTGTTTGGATCCATAAATCTTAAAATTTCTAATGTTATAAAAAGTTAGTAAATAAAGTAGGGATCAAAAACTGTTAAAAAAAAAAGTGGTTTCAGATATGACAATATAATTATTCTTATACACACATTTTTGTTTATAGAATAATTGTATTTTTCCGTATATTATATAAAATGCAAAAATAAAAAAACTAATGTTCCCAAAACAATCGGCCGATGCCGATGCATCGATGCACCCTTTGTTTACAGCATAGTTTCTGTTGTTTCTATTGTTCTCAATGGATCTTTTTCAATTTCATTACTTTCAATGAACTAAAACTGTGTCATACACAGCGTCTTTTTCAACTATATGCTTCAACAAACCTGCCAAACTATCCAATTCCATATCCATGTTTTTCAAAGCTTATGTCATTAAGTTCTCTTCATTAAAATCAATTTTCGAGGGTTATGACCTCAGTTTTGCACTGGAAATCCATGTTAGATTTAAGTTATTTTCGTACCATTATGATAAAAGAATCGTTTTTGAAAATTTGGTCTCTGATAATTTTGAGGCAAACTAATGGTCCAGTTATAGTTGATGGGTCTGACCCAGAATTTGCTTCAATTTTTTATGCTAGATTTGAAAATTTATTATTTTAATAAAAAAAGTTTGTATTTTTTAATGTTTATTTTAATGTTTGTTTGTTTTTTGAAAAAAAAATTTTTTAAATATATTAAAAAAATTAAATTGCTTTTAAAATATGACTTAAGTTATGAACATTTTTTGTTTGTATGAGTTTTTTTTTATTAAAAATCTAACTTGAAATTTTTTTTAAACGTGCTAATAGACTATAATAAGATATAGTCCATTCACACGTGCGTGCGAATAGACTCACCCTAAGAAAATAAACACACAAGATGAGAAAAAAGCTAAAATTTAAACGCAAAACGTTTGCCGATATTAGTTGTTTAATATTGTTAAATAAACATTGTATTTTTTAGTTAGATTTGCTCTTATAAGATAATATAAATTTTTTTTTAGCCTAAAAACCGATGTACCCGATACACGAAGTAGTGTTACACTTTCACAATGGTTCTGTGAATTACATAACGAAGTTAATCAGCGACTAGGTAAACCGGTTTTTGATTGTAGCAAAGTTCTTGAACGCTGGAAAGATGGATGGATTGATGGGAGTTGCAATTGATTTATAATTTTTCCTATTGGCTTTGGTTGCTTGCGATTACCATATGAAAAAGTATTTTTCATATGGTAATCATATTAATATATAATATATATATATATATATATATATATATATATATATATATATATATATATATATATATATATATATATATATATTTTATATATATATATAATTTATATATATGTATATATATATATATATATATATATATATATATATATATATATATATATATATATATATATATATATATATAATTTATATATATATATATATATATATATATATATATATATATATATATATATATATATATATATATATATAATTTTTATATATATATATATAATAATTTGTCATTATTATTTTTGAATAGAGTTTTAAATGCTATCTTAAATAAAGACATGTATTTATTGTTGCAGTTATATCATACACGTAATTGTAGTAATTGGGGTATCAAAAGGTGCATCGTTAATCTTTAAAAAAATCTATAGAGGCTAAAAAGTGACATATTAGGTTGAAGTTGTGTGAAGGAAAAGTGTTGCAAAGAAGCCTTAATAATATTTCAAAATTTTATAAATAAAATCCCGAAAAAGTTATTAAACTACTTAAGTAGTTAAACCAAAGGCTTTATTCATAACATTATATGATATTTAAAGTAGAAAATTACACAACTTTATTTGATTTTCACTTTATTATTGCATCTTTTAATCATACTGCAATACAGTTCAAATTTTTTGGTTATCAAAATAACCTTTATTAAATGTCTAATCTAATCTGTCTAAGACTATCTAATATTATGACTATGATTCTTGTGACTATGGACAAAACTAATAACTCGTCATATAAAAAAGATTTAAAAATCATTTTTGCACTGCTTACTAATTTGAGAATTTTTAACTTTGGGTTGCTATGGATACCTAAATTGCTTAGAAATCGCATATTTTATTACCTTGACAAATATAAATTTAAAAAAGTAATAACTTTATTAGTATTTTGAAATCGGATTCGAACCGGATCCAATATTCGGTTTTAAAATCTGTAGTTAAAACTTCCAAATATGGATGACCAAAACAGGTAATCTGGAATAGACTAATTAAAATCACCCCTAGTATTTTAAATAAAATACTACATTACATGTCATTACTAAATATAAGCAAAAACTTTGAAAATCTAAATTTAATGCTAAATAATATAATTTTTAAATTCAGTATAATCTGTCTTACAGAAACCTGGTGTCAGAGTGAAGATATGATTAACTATAATTTGCATTTAACAGATTACAAGTCTGTTCACCAACCGAAGAAAAACGGTATTGGCGGAGGCTTATGCATATTTATTCACAACTCGTTGACGTATAAAAAAGTAGATAGTCTAAGTGTGAATAACTCGAATTGCGAATCATTAACTATAGAGATAATAAATCAAAAAAAAAAAATTCGTTTAGAACAGATTTATATCGACCACCTAATGGCAGTTACAATCAATTTGAAAATGACTTAACACGAATATTAATTCAAACCTCTAAAAAACATCTATACTTACTCGGAGACTTTAATTTGCACTTAATATATTTAAACACTGATAAACGCGTAAAAAGTTTCAGTTAAAAAAAAGTATTTTATATCTCTTTATTTAGAATATAGCAATCTTTTTTTAACTCTACAAAAATACTACAAGACATAATAGAATCGTGGAGAGTTTCTAACCAAAAAATGTTTTTTAAGATCGTAACAAACCTATAGATAAACGGGGAAGCAAAAGATATGGTTCAACCAAGTAGTATAGATGATGTAAATTTTTGATATTTATTCCTCGTATCGAAAAATGATTAAGTTGCGTAGGTCTTAATTTTTGCTGTGATAACTACTTGATAGATGGAGAAGTCGTTAAAAACTTATCCAGTCAACTTTTAAGAGAGTAATCCATTTTGATTTAGCTTACAAATGTTACAAACTACATTTCAAAATTTTCCTTTTTCAAGGCAAAGGCGCCATTTTGACTAGCCGCTGGAATAATTAAACAACAAAGACTGAATTGCGATTTTTAAAGATTTTTGGCTTCATTCTCACTACATACTATTATAAATCCTTGTTTATATAAATTATACAAATAACTATCAAAAATCAAAGTTTCTGATATAAAGAATTTGATTACCAAAAGCATTACTCAATCCAAAATGCAGTTTCAGACTTTATAAATAAAATAAATTACTCGTTTAAAAATTCAAAATTTGTACTTAATTATACTTTAACATTAGGACAAAATATTGATTTGAAATTTGTTGACCTATCTCAAGCTATTAACACTACAGATTAAAAATTCTACTAAAATAAAATATGGAAAAAGTGTTTCAAATGATTGTATGTGCAACAAGAATGCTTAATTAAAATTACTTAAATTAAAAGTCGGTATCCCCAAAAGTTTCATAATAGATGTCATAATAATTGCCATTGTACTTTAGACATAATGGATATCATAATAATTGCCATTGTACTTTTGACATAATGGATATCAACTTTTGACATTTTGGAAAATACTTTATAGATTATTCATTTTTAAATACTTTAGATTATTTAAAAAATGACTTAAAAAGTAATTAAAAAAAAGTTATTAATAAATTAATAAGTTGCGTTGTTTTTAGGGCTCGCCAGTTAAAGTTTACGGTATAGTAACTTTACGCTATACTTTACCGTACTTGGTATACTAAAGGTTTGAATACAGTTTAGTATGCTTATTATTTTTTTTTTTTTTAAGTTGATTAAGGTGCCCCAAGAAGTCCTTACGGTCTTATCACAGAGCACGGAAGAGCATTTAATAGGAAGTTCACGCCTCCTTTCCAACCGATGTCGCAAAACTTGCCCAGAGGTGGGGTTTGAACCACGGATCTTACGTTTCTGAAGCAAGTGCGTTACCACTGCGCCACGGCTGCTTACTTTTTTTTGTAACTTTTTTTCGACTTACTTAATTTGTAAAATTGTTAGGACAAGTTTAATAGTTTATTACTAAATGATTATTATATTATCTTAATCCATATTTATTATATAACTTATCATGATTAAAGTGTTTTTAATTTTATTTGGCTTTTTTAATGTAGCAAAATAACAATCCATTTTTAAGTGGTTGCTGATTTGGATCCAATAATTCAACTTTTTAATTTAACTAGTGAGAATGTATGACCAATGATTAATGGTATAATAAAATACACAAACAAATAGGTTAATTAAAAATGAAAACATTTTTTTATCTATACCATTAGAAAATTTTGACAAACTTGTATTACAGTTTTGCCAAATAAAAAAATTGTTTTCGGTATACTTTACAGTATACTTTACCGTATACGGTAAACTAAATTTTTAGCATACGTATACTTGCAATCCCTAGTGATTCTTTTAACATATTAAGTCAACAGAATGACATAATTTCATAACATTTCAGACAGTGTGTGAGTTTATAAGTTCTCAATTCAATTCTTTCTCAATTTAGTGCTTACCCCATGATTAACAAGCCGAAGTGTGTAACTCGAAAAACATCATCTATAAGTGACAATATTATCACTAATAATTATATTAACTCGACAATCAACAGTTTATAATAAAAACGGATATCAGTGACCATTTTCCTGTATTTTAACAACAAATACTAAATGCTGTATAAATAAAAAACCCATAATAGTATACATAAGGCATGTAAACAAAAACTCGATTGCAATTTTTAGACAGCTTTTGCGTGAAACCAATTGGGAGGTTTTGAAAGATTGCAATGACACAATGAGCGCATACAATTTCTTTATCCGCGTCTTTAAAAGGCAATATGATAAAGCTTTTCCTAAAGTTCAAAAAAATATAAAATCCAAAAGTTTGCATAGTCCGTGGATGACTAAAGATCTTTTAAAATCATCAAAAAATAAAAAATAATAAAGCTCTACGAAATATTTAAAAAGAATCAAAACTATGAAAACGAAACTAAATATAAAAATTACAAAAATTATTTCGAAAAAATAAAAAAGCATTCTAAAAAAAACTTCTATTCTGATCTACTTCAGAAATCATTTGGAAACGCTAAAAAAAACTTAGACTATAATAAAAGAAATAACAGAGAAAACAAAAGTTACATCTAGCAACCTTCCTAATCGAATGAAAACCGATAAAGGTGAAATTTTTAATAAAAAAAACAATTGCTGAGAGACTGAATAATGTTTTTATAAATGTTGGAAAAAATTTAGCCAAAGAAACCTCTCCAAGTAGCAAAATATTCTAGTCTTTTTTGAAAAAATCACATTTTATTATTTATTATTTTAATTCGGAACTTTCCATTGAAAAACTTCGTTTAGCTTTTGACATGCTTCAGACAAATAAAAGTGCAGGTTTAAACTCAAGTTAAAAACTTAATTCAAGTATTATTAGTTTTATTTTGATATTATTTTTTATAGGAACCACTACCGTTCTTATGGAATAGAAAATATTATCCAACCAAAAATAAACAATATAATAGTAAGCAAGTACCTACTCCTATAACGCAAAAAAAGAAAAAGAAAACAACTTTTATGCATAATCCGCATACTGTTGTTCAAGATGTTGATTGCCTGTCTGCAAGTTGTTTTAGAAAGAAAAGATTTTGAATGTTTTTTTTTCTATGCTTCAGTAGTTTACACATTTTATTGGCTGTTAAATAATATATTTTATTTATTTTATGAATGTTTTAAAGTTATTTTTTTATTGTTGTTTTTTATTTATTTGTTATGACATTTTATTTCATTGGTATGACATTTATTTTAATTTAGTATTTAGCATTTAGTAAAATATTCTAGTATTGATTATTTTTTTATGTGGTTTACTTTTTGATCTTAAAAATATTAGGATCAGCAATGGCAAGATTTTCCTGAGGAAAGAGAGTGTTTTAATATAGTGCAAAGCCAAGGTGGTGTGTGTTTTCCACAGAAAAGAAAAAAGGTTGTTTTACTAGAGACAACTGCATTTGTTTCCTTTATAAGAAAAGTTACTAAAAAAGATTCCTTATCGAATGGAAAGTCTCCCATTACTGAGGAAGAAATTTGAAATATTTGATATTTG